TTTTTTTTTTTTTTGCAGCTTCATCTTGCCGGCGACATCAAATCCGGCGAGAAGAACTCCGACGACAACAAATCCGGCGAATTAAGTGATCCCGACGTCAAATTTCACTGGCCAAAAATTCATATTTTTCCTGCAACATTGAACATTTTTTTCCGACGAAAACTTGAAGTAGTAAGTAATCTATGTATTATATGAGGACTTTGGAGTCCAACAATCATCTTTAGTTCATATATTTTTGGTTAATTTGTTAATGATTCAATTTTGAATATTTGTTTATATTTACCCTAAAATAAATAAAGTGATCATAATCTCTTTTTTATTGTTCATGTATACCAAATTTATGCTATTGTTAAGTTATGTTAAGTAGTATTCATAATAAAACAAAAAAAATAAGACGATAATAATCATAGTACCACAATTCATGATTTGTACCTCTGTTTGTATCTAGTACCACGTTGCTCACTGTTTGGTACCATATGTGCTGGAAAATGTGAAGTTGTTTTGTTTTATCCAGTTATTGTTAGATACATGAAAGGGGAACAAAGTGATATATTAGAGAGTTGTACCTACAAAATGAATTGTATGCGTTCTTTATGCATCTTGGATTAATGTTTGACGAAGTGTACACTCTCATTGCTAAGAGGCGGCCGATTGTTAATTTAGAAACCGTCATGTCAAACTAAATTGCGCCAAAGAAAAAAAAAGTTAGTTTGTCCGATGATGAGGATGTGAAAACATGATTCGGTTACATGTTTGCTGGAAAGTTAATATTGTAGAGATACTTGTCATTGAAAGAAATTAAAGCCCGACCATTAGAAGAAATGAAAGACCGGGTGATGGAGTTCAATCCATCCCGATGAGCATAAACGGGTAATGTTGCTTTCATAATATTAATGAACTTATTATTGTTATATGGTGTTTTTATCATATCCTAGTTCATTAAGTTTTTAACTAGTTCCATTATTTATAAATCTTTGTATTCTTTTATCATGAACGCAGGGAAATCGTACCGTATGTTTATTTCTCGGAAGGAGAATCAGAGTTGTTAGTGCAAGATAAATCGATCGATTCATGCAGATTTTGCATCAAAGGAGAGGTGCAGATATTCAGTGGCGGCGCCGATGAATTTCGAAAGCGTGTTAATTCAATTAGTACATACTTTCGTTGACTGTAGTGCCACGATTTTATTCATCTATGAGATTGCTCGACTTTAGTCTCATAAAATAGCAAGTAAATTATTCTAAGTTTCAAGAATTCAATCCAAGTACTTAAATTTAATATTTTAAGCACCAAATTAAATTGGTGAAATTTAAAACACAAAAGGTTAATTCAAAAACTAATCCGAAGTCTAAGTTTTTAATTAAATTGGTAAATATGCAAATTAATATAATTTATTAAGTCAAGAATTACAATATAATTTTTATAAGTCAAGGATGTTAAGTAGGACTTTATAAATCTCGAGCCAAATGCATAACAATTAATATGCGGATTAACGTGATTGTCTAGCGGCAGGATGGTAGAGAAGACGGTCTTGAGGGTCTGGACCAGGGTTTGAGTCCCCCCGCTCATTCCACCATTTTTTTTCACTCATACTAAAATTTAATTAGTACCCGTTTTATCCAACATAGTACCACACTTTTTTTTTGGGCACTCGTACTAAAATTTAATTAGTACCTATTTTATCCAACATAGTACTGCACGTTGTTCTACGTGGTACATGTTTTTAAACGATTAGTACCTATTTTTAGTTACTATAAGTGCAAAAAAAATGGTGGAAGGATCGTGCAGAGAGGGACTCACCCGAGTTTGGGCGAGTCCACACTCTCAAGGCCACCTCCTATACCATCCTACCGCTAGGCGATCATATTTATTTATGCCCAAATTTAATTCTTATACCTTTAGCTCGAAATTTATAAAGTCCTACTTATTCTCCTTGGCTTATAAAAATTAAATTGTATTTATTGACTTAATAAATTATATTAATTGACATATTTATCAAATTAATTAAAAACTTAGACTTAGAATTAATTTTAGAATTAACATTTTGTACTTGGAATTTCACCAATTTAACTTGGTGCTTAAAATATTAAATTTAAGTACTTGAATTGAATTCTTGATACTTAGAATAATTTACTTGCTATTTCTTGGGACTAAAATCGAACAATCTCATAGATGAATAAAATCGTGGCGCTACATAATCCATTTAGTTGAATCAACGAAAGTAGGTACTAATTGAATTAAAACCAATACTACAAAGAAACAAATGTGGTACTATTATAGGTAAAGTTGGTACTATTTTAGGTACTACAAAGAAGCAAACTGGTGCTATTATATGTAAAAATCGACGTTTTTATGTGTTCATTACAAGTGATACTAAATACCCAATATCAGGTTCTACAACAATATAAAATTGGTACCATCTTACTCAATTTGGTATTAATTTTAGTAAATGTTGACCAAAATTAAAATAATTTATTTTCGTTCACAAAAGTAGGTACTAATCGACAAAAAAGAGGTACCGCGTTGAAGAAGATGCGGTATTATTTTGGCTTAAACAGGTACTCTTTTAATAATTGAAGTAATCCATTTTCGTTGACCAAAACTAGGTACTAACTGATTAAAAATAGGTATTACGCAGAAGATGAAGCAGTATTATTTATGTCAAAACTGGTATCGTTCTAGTAATCATGATTTCTTTAATCCTCTATGTCTACCATGCCACGTGGATCGTTCACACCTGATTTGGTTGAGAAAATAGTGGAAGTGCAAATATATAGGTAGAATTTGAAGTAGTCATGTATGAGGATTCTATAAGATGAAATGTGTCATTCAATGAAATGAAGTGTATTAGTAGTGTTTTCTCATTAGTGTGTCGAGTTCATGACTTTTTTACGATTAAACTCAAATTAAAACATTTTAAATCTCATACAAACTAATGTGAGAGTGATTATTGGTCATAGAAACATCATTTGAGACCAAAATTCGGTGTTTTTTTATGTTCGTCGGAGTTGGTTCTAAAGACTCGATATCTCTAGTAATAAAACACCGAAAGCTGGTACTGTCTTACTTTAGGTTTGGTACCATGAATTGCAAAAATTTACCACAATTG